TAAGCTATAATTATATTTTTGTGCACTATCTATATATTGGTTATATTTCATAATAAAAAGTCATTTAAAAATACAATACTCAAAATTAACAATTCAGTGATGGAGATTAATCATAATGAGGAGAAAATTAGTGAACTAAATGATGAATCAGAATAAATTATGCAGAACAGTGCATAGAGAGACAAATAGATGAAAAGAAAAACAGGTAAAAGACAGATAATTCAATAAGAAGATTTATGTTAACTGAAGCCCAAAAACAGAAGAAAGGGAATGAGTTGAAATAATATTTGAAGAAATAATAAGTGAGAATTTTCTGGAATTAATGGAAGAAATCATATCATAGATTCATAAAGACTTCAATGAAGCAAGATAAATTAAAAGATACCCAAACTAGATACACTATAGTGAAATTTCAGAAAAACAAGATCAAAGAGGAAATTTTAAGTAGCCAGAAAACAAAACCAACTTATGCTGATTAGAATTAGGATAGTTGTGCAGCACCTGGGTGGCTCAGTCAGTTGAGTATCTGACTCTTGGTTTTGGCTTAGGTCATGATTTCTGGGTTGTAGGGCTGAGCCCTGCATCAGGCTCCACACTCAGCACGGAGTCTGCTTGAGATTCTCTCCCTCTGTCCCTCCCCCCCTCAAATAAATAAATAAAATCTTAAAAAAAAAAAAAAAACGTGGGGCGCCTGGGTGCCTCAGTTAGTTAGGTGTTTGCCTTCAGCTCAGGCCATGGTCCCAGGGTCCTGGGATCAAGCCCCGCATCGGGCTCTCCACTCAGTTGGGGGTCTGCTTCTCCCTCTGCCTCTTTGATCTCTCTTGCTTTCACTCTCTCTCAAATAAATAAATAAAATCTTTAAAAAAAAAAAAAAAAAAGAAATACTTGTGACCTGGATAGAGAAGGAAGGAAGTAGTGCCTGGAGGATACATAAGGGAAGCTTATGAAGTGATTTTAATGTTCTCTCTCTTGACTTACATGGTGGTAACATGGAGTTGTTTAATTTTTTAAAATACACAGAGATGTATTCCTATGAGATATACACTTTTCTATATGTCCATTTTATATCAATAAAAAGCTGAATGGAAAAAAAAAGATGCAGAAATAAAAAAATAAGTGTATAAAAGAGCAGCAACTGGACTGACACCTGACTTCCCAGGAGCACAATGGAAGCCAGAGGGCAAAGCAATGTTACCTTCATTTTGTTAGAAGAAAACAACTGCCAACCTAAAATTCCATATATAGCAAAAATATCTTTCAGGGATGACAGCAAAAAAGACACTTTCATGCAAACTAAAAATGAAATGTTTTGTCTACAGTAGATCCTCACAAAAGAAAATCCTAAATAATACACTCCAAGAAGAGAAGAGATCCCAGATAAATGGCCAGGTTTGCAGAAGAAAAGGAAGAACAAAGAAAGTTATAGGTAAATATAAACCTAAATGAACCCTGAACAATAATTATGTCTTGTGATGTTTAAAAAATATATAAAAATAAATAAATGAATAAATAAATAAAAATATGTTAGAGTTAATACACAACAATGTTAGCATATTAGAAGGGAATAACCAGAGATAAGTATTGTAAGGATGTGTACTACCTAGAAGAAGAATACAAGTATCAGATAATGTTAGACTTCAACAAATGTCTATGATAACCACTAAAAAGTGAGAAATACGATGTATAATTTTTAAATTATTAGAGGGAAATAAAGAAAGGATAAACATAATTAATCCAAAGAAAGAAAAGAAAAAGAAAGACAAAAGCAGTAAGACAAATGGCACATATTAAGATGGTAGATTTAGGGTGCCTGGGTGGCTCAGTCATTAAGCATCTGCCTTCAGCTCATGTCATGATCCCGGAAGTCCTGGGATCAAGCCCCACAACAGGCTCCCTACTCAGCGGGGAACCTACTTCTCCCTCTCCAGCTCCCCTCTGCTTGTGTTCCCTCTCTCGCTGTCTCTCTCTGTCAAATAAATAAATAAAATCTTAAAAAAAAAAGATGATGGATTTATACTGAAATATACCAGAAATTGCATTACGTGTAAATAGACTAAATATTCCAATTAAAAGGCAAAGGTTGTCAAACAAGATGAAAAGCAAAATGTGACCATATGATGTTTACAGAAGACACATTTAAATAAGAATTGAGAAACTTCCAAGTAAAAATGTATAAAAAGACATGCTATGCAAACACTAACCAAAATTAAATAGTGTAGCTTTACTAGTTTCACACAAAACAGACTGTAAGACAAAACATTAATAATTTATTTCATGATGCTAAAACATTTGATTCAACATGTATAATAATTCTAACTTCAATGCACTAATAACATAGCTTTTCTGTTTGTAAGGTTAAACATGAAATGAACTATAATGAAAAACAGACAAACCAATAAACTCAGAGGAAGTTTTTTTTTTAAGAGAGAGAGCACTTAAAAAAAGAACTCTTTTTTTAAGAGAGGGAGCTGGAGAGGGAGAAGCAGGCTCCCCGCTGAGCAGGGAGCCCGATGCGGGGCTCCATCCCAGGACCCTGGGATCATGACCTGAGCCGAAAGCAGATGCGTAACGACTGAGCCACCCAGGCGCCCCTCAGAGGAAGATTTTATTTCTTCTCAGTACTAGATAGAAAAAGCATACAAAAAATCAGTAATAATTTAGAAGATTTAGAAGATTTAAATAACACAGACTTAATGGAATACTTTTCAAGCACACAAGCAATTTTTTTTCATTGACTTATACTCTGAGCCAAAAAAGAAAGTATCAAAAAATTTGAAGGGCGGGGGGGCACCTGGGTGGCTCAGTTAGTTAAGGGTCTGCCTTCAGCGGTTTAGCATCTGCCTCCAACTCAGGTCATGATCCCGGGGTCCTGGGATCAAGCCCCGTATCTGGCTCGCTGCTCAGCAAGGAGCCTGCTTCTCCTTCTCCCTCTGCCTGCTGCTCCCCCTGCTTGTGCACATGCTCACTCTCTCTTTTTCTGTCAAATAAATAAATAAAATCTTAAAAATTTTTTTAAAGGGATAAAATGTTACATAGTATATATTCAGATTATAAGGGCCTTGCTTGGCCCCTGGGAACTTGGATTTCATGAGGGTTCCCTTCATCTCTAGACCTGATAAAGTGGATCAATGTACAAAAAGTTAAAAATAGGGGCACCCAGGTGCCGCCGTCAGTTAGGGGCAGCCTTCGGCTCAGGTCATGATCCCAGGGTCCTGGGATTGAGCCCTGTGTCAGGCTCCCTGCTTCTCCCTCTGTGCCTCCCCCTACTCCTGTGTGCTCTCCCTCTCTCTCTCTCAAATAAATAAATAAAATCTTTTTTTAAAAAGTAAAAAATAGAGCTACCCTATGACCCAGCAATTGCACTATTAAGTGTTTATCCAAATGATACATAATGATCTGAAGGGGCACATGCACCCCAGTATTTATAGCAACAATGTCCAATAGTCAAACTATGGAAAGCGCCTAGATGTCCATCGACAGATGAATGGATAAAGAAGATGTGGTGTGTGTGTATATATATATATACACACATATATATGCATATATAATGGACTATTACTCAACCATCAAAAAGAATGACATTTTGCCATTTGCAATGACATGGATGGAACTAGAGGGTATTATGTGAAGCGAAATAAGTCAGAGAAAGAAATATATCATATGATTTCACTCACATGTGGAATTTAAGAAACAGAATAGATGAACATAGGGGAAGGGAAGGAAAAATAAGACAAAAACAGAGAGAGAGAGAAACCATAAGAGACTCTTAAGTATAGGGAACAAACTGAGGGCTGCTGGAGGGGAGATGGGTGGGGGGAAGGGATAACTGGATGATGGGCATTCAAGAGGGCACTGGATGGAATGAGCACTGGGTGTTGTATGCAACTGATGAATCACTAAATTCTACCTCTGAAACTAATAATATACTATATGTTAATTAAATTGAATTTAAATTTTTTTTAAAAATTAAATTTAAAAAAGAAAAGAAAATAAAGAAGATCAAACATTGGTTCTTTCTAAAGATAAATAAAATTGATAAACTTTTGGTGAGACTGATTACAGAGAGAGAGAGATCACATAGCAGGCCTGAGACTTAGAAAGGTCTGCTTGCAAAGTGAGCCCTTGCTTGGCCCCTGGGAACTTGGATTTCATGAGGGTTCCCTTCATTTCCAGAACTGATAAAGTGGCTCAATGTACAAAAAAAATTGTTTATGCTGAATATCTGCATTCCTTCTGGGATTCTGGAATTTTGGTAGAGCCAGGCAGAGGGTGTCTACATGAACATCACCCAATAAAAACCCTGGATGCTGAATCTCCTGAATCTCCTTGGTAGACAGTATTTCATGTGTGTTGTCACAGCTTGCTTTTGGAAAAAACAAGTGCATCCTGTGTGACTCCACTGGAAGAGGATTCTTGGAAACCTGTGACAGGTTTCCTCTGGAATTCACCCCATGTACCTTTTCCTTTGCTGATTTTGCTTTATATCCTTTTACTGTAATAAATCATAGCCATGAGTACAACTATATGCTGAGTGCTCTGAGTCCTCTTATTGAATCATGGAACATGGAGTGTCTTTAGGACTCCCAACACAGATGACAGATAGATATAGATAGATAGAGAGATAGATAGATAGATAGATACAGAAAGAAGCAACAAATACTTTCAAAATCATGTTTATATTCATAGGATAAATGAATATGCATATATAATTATTTTATTTGTTTATTGTCAAAAAAGAAATTTATGTCTTAAATCTTGGCATGGAAATTAATATAAAAACAGTAATTTTTTCCTAAAAATGTAATCTTGGTCAAGAAACAACTTATTCGGGCTCCCTGCTTGGCAGGGAGTCTGCTTCTCCCTCTTACCCTCCTCCCTCTCATGCTCTCTGTCTCTCATTCTGTCTGTCTCAAATAAATAAATAAAATCTTTAAAAAATAAAAAAAATAAATAAAAAAGAAACAACTTATTTTTTTAACTCAATATTGGTATTTACTCACCTTTAGTAACTTGATTTCTCGCATAGCAATTTTTTTAACCATTTTGTCATCATCACTTTCTAAGAACTTCTTGATGGCCACAATTCTTCCACTATCTTTATTCCTACACTTCATCACCATTCCATAGCTCCCTTCTCCAACCAATCCTAGGTTCTCATATTTTTCCATTTTAATTCAAAACCAGTAGGAATTCTTGCTGGGGAAACCAAAACACAGAGTTAATAATGTTGAGTATATTAATTTCTTCCACCTTCCCAGTAAATTAATTCTTCCGCACTTGTTTTCCATATTAGAGCAGTTGCTGTGTTAATGGCTGTTCTGTTCTGACTCACAATTTCTTACTGTTCCTGCATCTAAGCTATGTTTTCAAATTATTTCATTTAGACAAGACATTTCATAATAGACAATAATTAAAGCCATTAAATTTAAATTATTAAATGTTATGTTAATGAAATTCAATATATATATATTTTTGTAGTTTTTAATTTTATTATATTATGTTAGTCACCATACAATACATCATTAGTTTTTGATGTGGCGATCCACGATCCATTGTTTTCGTATAACACCCGGTGCTCCATGCAGTACATGCCCTCCTTAATACCCATCACCGGGCAAATCAATCCCCCCTCCCCCCTCCCCTCTAGAACCCTGTTTGTTTCTCAGGACCATAGTCTCTCATGGTTCATCTCTCCCTCCAATTCCCCCCCCATTTTTCCCTTCCTTCTCCTAATGTCCTCCATGTTATTCCTTATGTTCCACACATAAGTGAAACCATATGATAATTGACTTTCTCTGCTTGACTTATTTCACTTAGCATAATCTCCTCCAGTCCCATCCATGTTGAGGTAAAAAAATATGGAACGCTTCATGAATTTGCATGTCATCCTTGCACCAGGGCCGTGCTAATCTTCTCTGTATCGTTCCAATTTTAGTATATGTGCTGCCGAAGCGAGCACAAATTCAATATATTTTTAATTCAGATAAAGCAATATTTGAACTATCATGCAAAACAATTACAGCTTATTTTAGAAAAACGCAACTCCTTTTCACTCAGAGGTGAAAAAGCACAAGTGAGTTTTGTTTTGTTTTGTTTTTTAAGATTTTACCGTTCAGTAATCTCCTCACCTAAGTGAGACTCAGACTCACAGCCCTGAGATCAAGAGTCACTCACCCTACCAACTGAGCCAGCCAGGCGCCTCAATGAGTTTGGTTTTAGTGAAGATCAAATTTATTTTTTTTTACATCAGGTTTAAAAAAGCAAAGTTGAGGGGCACGTAGGTGGCTCAGTCAGTTAAGCGACTGACTCTTGGTTTCAGCTCAGGTCAAGATCTCATGGGTGGTGGGATGGAGCCCCAAGTCAGGCTCAGTCTCAGGCTGGGGGGGGTGGGGGAGGGGAGTCTGCTTAAGGATGCTCTCCCTCTGCCCTTCCCCCCACTCATGCACTACCTCTCTCTCTCTCTCAAATAAATAAATCTTTAAAAAAAGCTAAGTTGAACATCTTTATGCACTTTCTACTCAGTTGGAAAAAATATTTGTTTACAAAATCATCACCAAGTTAACACTAAGAAACTTTGATAAACTATTTTTCTTTACTTTTCTCTGTAGTAATTAAATTCCCACATTGAAAGTACAAAATAACAACACTGACATCACAGTATATAAGCAAATTGTTTAAAAATTAAATTCTAATAGTAACAAATACAATATTTCAAAAGTCCTTTTTATGATTACTCACTGTAAGTATGATCATTTGAATTTTGTGTTTAGAATTCTTTTACATCTCATGATATGACATTTTTTGGATAATGGCAATTCTAATAATGACTGATGGAGGATCAGTGATCATTCCACTACATATTTTGGTATAGAAAAAAACTTTTTCAGTTCAAATACAAATAGATTCTAACTCACAAGTCTTGATTGTCATGAAATATAAAAGCTAATAACTCCAAAGTTAAATTTATTTTTTATATCTGATTTTGCAATTAAATTCCAGAAACAAAGAATAAAAAATATTTCTCCTAATCCCAGTATGATTCTAAAAGTTTTGGGAGAAAAAAACAATCTTTGGGTAACTATATATTCAAATGATGATTTATAGTTTATTTTTTTAACCTAACAATACAAAAATACTCATTCATAAAACGTGGAAAGAAAAAAAAAACTCTCACTTATCTCATTAATTGTGTCCTTATGGTAATCTAAAACTAATTTACCCAGATTGTGAATTGTGATGTTTTATTTGCTTCCATATTAGTACACTGATAACAAAGACAAAACAAATACCCTCTTTGTTCTAGCAAACTGTGATAACCCAGTGTGTACACATTTTCATCAGTTTACCCTAATAATTTAGGGTTTAATATACATACATAATAAGGCATAGATATACATGGAAAACCAGAAGACTGACCTGAAGGGGGAAAAGATGAAAGTAAATTCCAGTCAACACCAACTCCAATTATTTCATATTTTACCACTAGCTTTGATAGTAGGTTCTATAAACTGTTTACAGAGCAGTGTCCATAACACTAACTTTCCACATATTTGACATATTAACTTCCATTTAATATCTACTATTTTTAAATAAAATGTCTGAAAAAAATTCTCAGTGTAATTCTCTCTCCTTTACTGAATTTTTTTCCTTCCATTAAGACAGCATGCTTTATTAAGATCTAGACTTTAGGTTTCTCATGCCAAGAACAAATATAGCTGGACTTTATAACCTGGATCATTTTCAAACATTTTGCAATTGGTGTCCTCAATATTTGAAAATGCAAAGTGAACAAAATTAAGATTACCTTAAGCATGTCTAAGATGTTCTGAAGCATATCACAAGCTAAGATTAAGCAAGTTGGCCAGTCCAAGTTTATTCTGGAAACCAACCACACACGTAGTCACAGCACATTGAACACACCTGCTTTTTCAAGTGGCACTGCCCACAAATACCTTAGAAGTCTCACAGTTCGGGGAGCGCCTGGGTGGCTCAGTCGTTAAGCGTCTGCCTTCGGCTCAGGTCATGATCCCGGGGTCCTGGGATCAAGCCCTGCCTCGGGCTCCCTGCTCGGTGGGAAGCCTGCTTCTCCCTCTCCCACTCCCCCTGCTTGTGTTGTCTCTCTCTATCAAATAAATAAAATCTTTAAAAAAAAAAAAAGAAGAAGAAGTCTCACGGTTTAAAAAGCCTCTTGTTTCCTGAAACAGTTACTCATAAACTACAATTTTTCACGTCTTCTACTCCTGGTGTGTAAGGGTAATACAAACTAAAAGGATGCCTGGCCAATTGGCAATGCGGTATTCCTGGACATGTGCCATGTAAGCATACGGTTCTAATACCAACAATCAGATAATAAAAGTAATGCTTTTTATTTTGTTAAAGACAGATTGAAATCTATCACAAATCAGAGAACGAGATAATAGAAGCTTTTAAAAGTATTATACTTACTGTTTCTTTAAAATCCTTTCACATGGAAAGACCCAAAGGTTTTCAACTTGGAAACAAATTTGAGATGAAATGCATCTCGCTCGCAGGTCTACAAGATGCTGATTAGCAAACTAGCAATTCCGGAGCTGGTCTGATTTCTCCTGGAGACACAGTCACCGGACCGGGGCGAATCAGGCAGGGAGGCAGATTGGCCTCGGCCTGCCGCAGGCTCACACTCAGGGGGTCCGCGGGCCGCATGCTGCCGTCGTCAAGGCAACGACCTCACTCTGCCCCAACCATCGGCACAGTCTCCCGAGAGGGATACAGCGCAGGTCAGAATGCGTCCACGGCAGGCACCAACACGCCTGTTAAGGCCAAGGCCTGTAAAGAAATTAGTTGGGTGGGAGGGCACCGTCTCCCAGCTCTCAAGGTGCCCAGTCCCTGGAGTCTGTGAACCTGCTTGTCTCCAGCAAACCCTGGGCGAAGGCGTTGGCCACCGAGCTAGCTGCAAGGGGGCGGGTTCCCACCCGTCCGGCCCCGCCCTGAGGGCCCCAAGCCTCCCGCGTTCTGATTGGCTGGGCCCTGTCGTCACGAGCTACGATTGGCTCAGCGCCAACCGCCCTGCCCCTTCACCTAGGGCTTGGCCCAGGTTCTGTGCACTGATGCGCAGACACCAGCACCCACTTTATACTTCAATTCTCAAGTAGAGCGGCACCTTTCTGCCTTTGCCGGGAGACCTTTCCTCGCAACTGAGAGCAAGAGGCGATTCCGGCGCTCACGGAGAGAATAAGAGGGTGGTGGTTTTGTGGGATTGGGAGAAAACAGAAGGGGGAAAACAGGCACAGAGGGCGATGAAGCATTCCTCGCAGCTTCCCTGCGGGGGCGGTGAGCAAGACCCGCCCCTGGCGCCCCCACCCGGGAGGGTTCCCCCTGACCGCGATTCGATGCTTCCTTTCCAGTCGGGGCAGTGGGGCCAGGCTGGGCCAGGTAGGTGATGAGGGTGACAGCCTAGGAAGTGATGATTAGTAGGTGAGGCAAGGTGAAAGCAAGTAGGTGACAACACAAGTGACATTAGGAGGGACCTCGAGGAGGACAGCCTGGGCACTGAAAGCGAGGGACACACTTTAAGTGGAGATAATGGAAGAGGGAGAAAGAACATGAATGAAATAAGAGAAGGGCTAGGCCATCAGAGGAACTAGAAGAGATGTGCGATACCGGCCTGTGGCAGCCAAATAGGGTGCAGTTGGGGGTGAGATGTTAAAGGTACAGACCATGGCTTAAGGCTAGATCCATGACCAGGCAAGACTGGTAGATCAGAATGACGCAAAGGCTTGAGTCACATAAGAAACAGGGATTTCCTCATCTTCAAGTAGTTTGGGGTTTAAGCCATACCCCTCCAGTGAAAGGCCTTAAGCACTCAAGTACTTATTTTCACATTGTATCACGAAGAGTATGGGAGCCTGGCTGGCTCAGTCCGGGGAGCATGCGACTCTTGATCTCGGGGTCCTGAGTTTGAGCCCCTCGTTGAGTGTAGAGATTATATAAATCTTTATAAAAAGAAATCATGAAGACTAAACGTTTTATAATCGTATTTGGGCTCTAGAACACCTTGATCCAATTAAGAGAATGTCCTGGAACAGCAGATATTTATAACTATAGTCAATATTAAGGTATTAATTCTTTCTTGTATACTAAGAAATAAATATTCTGATTTATAAATTATCTTTTGTAAGCTTGGTTAGCATGAATTAATCTTCCAGTGCTTGATCACCTTGGTCAAGCTGCTTAAAATCTAGTTCCTGAACCTGTAATCATGAGGAGCAGACCTAGGACCTGGGCATGGAAAGAATATAATTCTTTGGCCAATCCAAGATGTCCTCATGTAGAAATTAGCTCTATCCCTGGATGTGACCAAGTAGGAGGGAGCCATGCCCTGTTTTGTTACCTCTATAGGCTATAACAGAATCTGATGAATTTTTTATATGAATTCAGGAGACCCCCTTTTATAAAGTGGCAAATCCATGTTTGTTAGGACTGAAGTTTGAGAACAAGAATACAAAAATATCGGGGCACCTGGGTGGCTCAGTCGTTAAGCAGGGAGCCTTCGGCTCAGGTCATGATCCCAGGGTCCTGGGATCGAGCCCCGCATCAGGCTCCCTGCTCAGCGGGAAGCCTGCTTCCCCTCTCACACTCCCCTTGCTTGTGTTCCCTCTCTCGCTGTCTGTCAAATAAATAAATAAATAAATAAAATCTTTAAAAAAAAATACAAGAATATTTTATTTTTCCAACCTTACAAATATATTCAACAATATGAACATTTAAAGGCCCCTCCAGACAAGAGGCCCTGAAGCTTAAATAACCTGTTTATATCCCACAGGGAACCAAAAGGATAAAGACTAAAAAACTAGATTCGGTGAATAGAATGCTTTCTTTCAAAAAGAACTAAGTTTGAAAGCCAACTGTGAAGGAGACATAGGGTATTCAACAATTATACATCCTGGGTAAAGCTACCTACAGGTTTGCTGAAGAGGAGGTAGCATTAGGTAGAAGCAGGATTGGGTTATTGCTTATTTTTCGTTTTCAACTGGGAAATCTTTGTAGGGAAAAAGAATGGAGAGAAGCTTTAAAGAGGCAAGAAAAGGAATAATGAAAAGCCTAGGACAGGTAGTGAAGGTGGTAAAGTATGAGAAGGTCTTAGCCTTGAAGAGGCTTAAAGAAAAAAGGAAAAACTGAGAAAAGTGTAGGACAGACACAGTGGCTGGTCTAGATCTTCTCAGTAAAAGAACTTCATTTTTGCTGAAAAAGATAATGGTGAGATTGAGGCTCAAGGATTTGAGAGCAGAAATACCTTGAAATAGTTACAAAGAAGTCATTTTGATATGAAAAGAATATAAAATAGTAAAATGTGCCCACTTGAGCCTGGACACCATGAATTTGCAGTGAAACCAACTGACTCTATTTTATAGGACTTGGCATCCCCAGGGGCAAGAATGGAGAAAACAAATGGCACACAAGCTAACTCTTAGAGAATTGGTACAGCAAGAATAATAAACAAAGGAGTTAAGAAATCAAGTATGATGGAGGGGCACCTAGCTGGCTCAGTCAGAAAAGCATGTGACTCTTGATCATGAGTTCAAGCCCCACACTGGGTGTATAGCTTACTTAAAAAAAAAAAAAAAAAAGAAAGAAAGAAAAGAAATCAAGTAGGATGGAGAAAGCACCATTGAAATGGCTTGCCATGGGTTCCAGCTAGATAGGAAGACAAATTTTGACAGAATTTAGCTAATAAACTGAAAATGCAGAGGCACTGAAGGAGTGGAGTTCACATAGGCATGAAGTTTAATGGGAGTGAAATAGGAGAAAAAGTGACTGTTAAAGCAATTTGTGAATTTAAGACCTTGGAATTGGCACAAGATGATGACAATGATGGGTTCTAAAGGGTGGAATGTTTGGCTGTTCCTTTGGGTAGCTGAAGATTACTGAAGACTGTCATTGGAATTGAGTTCAATTCCATGAGGTCACAGTATGAAAAGTGATGAACTTTTTTGAAAAATCATAACATGAACTACTCAAGTGGGAAAATACAGGGAGAGGTTGAGAGGGACATTTTAATCACTAAAAAAAGTGAAAATATTGTAAAAATCTAAAGAAAACAATGTGGGTGTGCATGAGATTGGCAACAAGAGAGGAGAAGTGGAGATATGGCAAAGAAACAAAAGATAAAAGAGACTAAGGACCATATGACCTAGCAATTCCATTCCTAGGTATACACCCAAGAAAAATGAAAATATATGTTCACATAAAACTTTAAACAAATGTTTATAGCAGCAATGATATTCATAATAGCTAAAAAGTGAAACTCAAATGTCCATCAACTGATGAATGGATAAACTATGGTATATCCATACAATGGAATATAAAAAGAATGAAGTATTGCTACATGCTACAACATGGATGAATCTTGAAAACATTATGCTAAGTGAAAGAAGTCAGATACAAAAAGCCATGTGTTAATTCCATTTATGTAGTGTCCAGCATAGGCAAATCCATAGAAACAGAAAGATTAGTAGTTACCAGGGACTGAGGGAGAGATGGGAATGGATTTGGATTTGGATGGGTATGGATTTCCTTCTAGGGTGGTGAAAATGTTCTGGAATTAGATAGTGGTCATGGTTATACAATCTTGTGAATATACTAAAAACCACTGATCTGTATTAAAAGTGTGGATTTTATGTATGTAAATTATCTCAATACAAAATAGACTACAGGACAAGAAATATATGGCCTTCCCAGAAATCTTTTTCAATAAATTTACATATTTTAGCTTAGAGTAGCCCAACTGTCTTCCTCACTTTAGTGATCATCCCTATTAAATGACTCTTGGCAATGATCATTCTCTACACATCTTGACATCCAAAAACTATGTGCTTGGGTCAGTTTCTTGCCAAACAAACAAACAAACAAAAAATACCTCTCACTTAGGTCCCATGAGATACTGAATTATCATAGGTTTTTGGCATCACTTCAAATGAGTCACCAAGTGAACAGAAGGGTCATAAAACTTCAGACTACAGAAAGTAGTCTTTATTTTCAGTATATTATAGAGCATGGAGCTATGTATGAATACATCTCATTCTATGAAGAAAATGGACTTATTTTGAAATCCTGGTTCTTTGATGGAAGGACACTTGCCATAGAAGAGAGAATTCTGTTCTCAACCTAGTAGTTGATTCAATGACCTCATTACTACATATAAAAGTGATTAAGATGACAATTAGTTTTGAACACCTAAAGTACAATATACCACTCACTTTGCCAAATTCAACATATATCTATACTATAACAGTGTGAACCTGGAAATCCATTCCTCAAATGTTAAAAACACACATTGTTTGCACTGGTAACATGCCTCTTACAAAAACTCCCCCTTGACGTTCCATCTCCCTCTAACCTCTACCCCATTCCTCTAATCTTTATAACAAAACTTGGGAAAAACTATTTCAGTGATATGATAAGGCTGAAAGAAAGCCTAAGAGAATCAGAAGTAAACGAATAGACTTTTTCTGTGAAGTCACTATGGCCTATATCTTGCCAAGGCCATCTGTAGCAGAGATTACTAACTACTCACAAGCTGGTTCCTTTTTCCTGTACGTATGGCTTGTTTATTTTCTGCAATCTCCATTGAGATTGGGGTCATGTGACTTAAGTCAAGCCAATGGAACATGTGGTATCTACCATTCCCAGTCCTGGCCCATAAAAATCTCCACACAAGATCCTCCATATTCCTTTTCTCTTTCACCTGGCTATAACAAAGATGACTACAGCATGATCTTAGAGCCACACATTAAAGCTGGTAGAGCCTTCATTCATCTGTGTTCCTAAATGACCAAGTGGGGCAGGGCCAGACCACTGGCCTCTTCACTACCACTCTTTTTTTTTTTTTTCAAGATTTTATTTATTTATTTGACACAGCGCCAGAGGGAACACAAGCAGGGGAGTGGGACAGGGAGAAGCAGGCTTCCCGCCCAGCGGGGAGCCCGATGCGGGGCTCAAACCCAGGACCCCGGGATCATGACCTGAGCCGAAGGCAGACGCTTAATGACTGAGCCACCCAAGCGCCCCAACTCTCCTATTTTTTATAGGTAAAAAACAATTGTTGGTGCCATTAGACACTTTGGGGTCTATTTACTATAGCAGATAGCCCAGCTTAATTAATTCACTACCTTATTTGACCTCAGCAGCATTTGACACAACTGTCTATTCTTTCCTTTTGAGATAAACTCTTGAAACATAGCTTTCCATGACACCAGTACTTGCTATATTTTGTCTCCCTCAGTTTCCTTTGCAGGCTTCTCCTGTACTAGAACCCTGAATTTTTTTTTTTAAGATTTTATTTATTTGACAGAGAGAGCACAAGCAGGGGGAGCGGCAGAGGGAGAGGGAGAAGCAGGCTCCCTGGGGAAGAGGGAACCTGACGTGGGGCTCGATCCCAGGACCCCGGGATCATGACCCGAGCTGAAGGCAGATGCCCAACTGACTGAGCCACCCAGGTGCCCCTAAAACCCTGAATTTTAAGAGTATTTGAGGGCTCAGTCCTCACTCAGCCTCTTCTCTTCTGTACACTTACTCCCTAGGTGATCTCATCTCATCCACCAGCTGCAAAGACCTATACTGGCCACTCATAGCACTGAGCTCTCCTCAGAGAACTCCAAAATCAAACCACCTGACATTTCTTCCTGGCTATTCAATTGGCATATGAAACTTAGCATTGCTACTAGAGAACTGTTGATTTTTCCCTCCACAATCTACTCCTGCTCCTTCAATATCTCAATAGAGTACAGCTTTCCACCCAAGTTCCATAAAAATCCCAGGGATCATCCTTAAACATTCTTTCCCTCACATTCAGAATCTAATCCATAATTAAGTTTTCTAGGTTCTATCTCCACAATATATCTTACTAGCTGACCATTTATCACCGTCTTCACAACTGCAACCCTATTCTAAGCTACCATGTCCATCACCTGATATCCCTTCCTAACAGTCTCCACACTAATTCAGACCACATCACCTCCCTGTTCAGATCCTTACAAGCCCCATACAAGGGTAAAATCCAAACTACAAGGCCACCCACAATTTAGCTCTTATCTCTT